CAACCACTCAGCCCCCCTGAACTCAGATTTTCTTCTCAGTGCAGCAAGACCACCATGCTTTGCTTAGGGTCTTTGTCTTTGGACTATGGATTTTACTGCAGACACAGAATGTGTCTACAAGTGGAAAGCCAGAGTCATCACAAGGCTTCCTCATTTGTATCCCTTCTCTCAGCAGTCAGAAGTATTATACTGCCTGTGGTACAGTGTCTGAAAAAAATTGTCCCACGTATTCTGTTTAGTTTTCGTGTTGTTTAGTCTAAGAGTGTACGTCTCTACCAGTCGCTTCATTAATATGAGGCAGAAAGCCCTCAGCCACAGGCCAGAATCTCTAGCCCATATATATCAATACTTGTATACTCCCATGAGAGCTGGAATGTCCTGCTCAGTACGTTGTGTTATTTTTATGTTTTATAGTGGATCTTTCCAGGTAGACTTTGCTGCTTATACTGTAGCTGTTTGTCTTTATCCCTCATTTCTTCATTTAGTATAGTTTAAATGTGATTCTTTCATATTTGATTCATTGTAGTAGGAATTGTAGGTTTTAGAAAACAGACTTAAAAGGTAGTTTGAATATGTGTAACTTTTAAAATTCTCTTAATCAAAATGATTGTTTCTTAGTTTTTGTGTTTGGATTTTTCATGTAAACTAATATTTATCTCAGTCAAGTCTGTTATATTTAGGAACCTATAATGTTGAAAAGAACTTGTGAGGTTTCCTATCAGTTAACACAGTCTAAACTAACATGTCAAGGTACAGGTTAAATGGGCTCTTGAGAATGAACAAAGGACAAGAAGCTGAGTTATTCATGTTCATTTTGTCTGGGAACCACCACATCTGCCTCTAAGGCTGAGTAATCATGACCTATTAGTGTGGTTATGGAAAGTATATATCAGTTTAACTGTGTGAACCATCCTTTCTTTAGGGAAAATATCCTCATCAGATTGCTGAAAATTTCCCTTTTTAGAACATTTAAAATTAAAACTGAATCAGTATTTTATCTTGTTGGATAACCTGTTTAATCTGTTGGGGTGCATATTTTATCCTTGTTTCTAGAATAGAAATGTAGATTTTTCCTTCCTATATAATCCCAGAAATCTTATTATTTTAGTGTCTAGGACGGTTCAATTTTTTTTCACCTAGAGTTCATTTCTAGAGGACAGTTATAGGGATATCATGGATAGATTCTTGAATTTCTTTTGTTTTGCCTAGTAGTATCACATTTCTCTTTTGTGTTTTCAAACAGTAAATGTGGAAGTTACAGGGGTTTTTAAAAAATATTTATTTATTTTCTTTATTTTTTTTGGCTGTGATGGGTCTTAGTTGTGGCACGCAGGATCTTCATTGAGGCACGTGGGATAGTTCGTTGCAGCATGTGGACTTCTCTCTAGTTGTGGCACACAGGCTCCAGGGCACGTAGGCTCTGTAGTTGTGGCGTGCAGGCTTCAGAGCACATGGGCGCTGTAATTTTGTGGCAGGTGGGCTCTCTCATTGAGGCACACAAGCTCAGTAGTTGTGGTGTGTGGGCTTAGTTGCCCGGCAGCATGTGGGATCTTAGTTCCCTGACCAGGGATCAAACCCGTATCCCCTGCATTTGAAGGTGGATTCTTTACCACTGGGCTGCCAGGGAAGTCCCCCCACCACTTTTTTTTAATTGCATCTGATGTTAGCTATAAGTAAGTATACAGTGAGAAATTTTTCACTAATTATTTAGTTACTCTGAATTCTACAAACTATAAACTTGGGTTTGTGTGTTTGTGTGTGTGTGTGTGTGTGTAGGATCACAAAATAATTCTTTTTTCTTTAACTGAAATCTCTTTTGTGCACATAATATTCAAAGAAACAGTTGTAGATTTCATGGTTAATCACAACTTTTCAATAAAAGTTCCTTTTTTAGAGATTCTATAATCATTTTTTAAACTTATTATCACTATTTATTGATTTCTGTGAATTAAAATTCAAGAAAAAGATGAACAGACTAAAAATTCACATAGATTTTTTTTTTTTGGTCCAGAAGAAAACCTTATAGTTAATTGAGTCAGTGCTAAGTGTAGGATTTCATTTTTTAGATTTTTATTTGAACACAAAATGCAACTGTATTTAGGGAGAAATGTAGCTTAGATTTATGAATGTCTTTCTTTTTCGTATTAACATGCAACAGAAAAATTTGTTTAATGTCACCTATTATCTAGATAGCAGTAGTTCTTTAATGTTTTATTTCCATCACTACATCTTATGCACTTTGTCTTTGAGCCACAAATTCTTTCACCATGTGGTTTAAAAAGACTTTTTTATGGGCTTCCCTGGTGGCCCAGTGGTTGAGAGTCCGCCTGCCGATGCAGGGGACACAGGTTCGTGCCCCAGTCTGGGAAGATCCCACATGCCGCGGAGCGGCTAGGCCCGTGAGCCATGGCCACTGAGCCTGTGCATCTGGAGCCTGTGCTCCACAACGGGAGAGGCCACAACAGTGAGAGGCCACGTACCGCAAAAAATAAATAAATAAATAAAAAGACTTTCTTATATCCAAAGATCACTTACTGTATGTGTATCTATATATACATACATATGTATGTGTGTGTATATAATTTTATTCTACAAATACAGTACTTTTGTTCATAACAGCTAATGGCTAATACTTTTTGAGGGCTTATTATATGCCCGGCACTGTTCTAAGCCTAGTACTTTATATGTGTGTTACAGTAACATGTTAAGAATATCCAAGCTTCTAGAGCTTACACTTCATGAGAACTTTGGAAATTAGCAATAGATTTTATTGACATCTTGATTATTTTAGGGGTTTTTGAATTTTGGAGCTAGATAAAAACATAAGATGAATCTAATTCTTTTGCCTTGCGGAAGAGTAGCTTGAGGTCCAGAAAGGTTAAGTGACTTGTCTGAGTTCGCTTATTTTCTGACACCTAATAGCCTGTTAGAACCTAACCTATTTGAAACTCTAAAGGAGCTTGTTTAAAACATACAGGTTGGGGGCTTCCCTGGTGGCACAGTGGTTAAGAATCTGTCTGCCAATGCAGGGGACATGGGTTCGAGCCCTGGTCCAGGAAGATCCCATGTGCTGCAGAGCAACTAAGCCCATGTGCCACAACTACTGACCCTGTGCTCTAGAGCCCACAAGCCCACGTGCCGCAACTACTGAAGCCTGCGCGCCTGGAGCCCATGCTCCACAACAAGACAAGCCACCTCAATGAGAAGCCCGCACTCCGCAACCAAGAGTAGCCCCTGCTCGCTGCTACTAGAGAAAGCCTGCTCTCAGCAACAAAGACCCAACGCAACCAAAAATAAAAATAAATAAATTTTTTAAAAAATCAATTAGTTAAAATAAATAAATACATAAAACATACAGGTTGGGAATTCCCTGGTGGTCCAGTGGTAAAGAATCCGCCTTAAAATGCAGGGATGCAGGTTTGATTCCTGGTCTGGGAACTGGGATTCCACATGCCTCAGGGCAACTAAGTCTGCATGCCACAACTACTAAAGCTTGCATGCCTCAACTAGAGAGCCTGCGTGCCCGCAAACTACAGAGCCCACATGCTCTGGAGCCTGCGTGCCACAACTACAGAGCCCAGGCACCCTGAAAGCCTGTGCGCCACAACTAAAGAGAAGCCTGCGTGCCACGACGAAAGATCCTGAAAGATCCCGCATGCCTCAATGAAGATCCTGCATGCCGCAACTAAGACTCGATGCAGCCTAGAATAAAACAAATAATAAATAAATCTTAAAAAAAAAAAGTAATCTTAAAAAATAATAAAAATAAAGTAAAATAAAACATACAGGTTCCCATGTCCACCTACTGAATCAGCTTATGCTTAGGGGACCCTGAAATTTATATTTTTAACAAAGTCCATAGTTGATTCTTACACAGACACCTCGTCGTGGCATACATGTTAATTTGGGAACCACTGTGTTTAAACCTTTATCACACATCTAAATGTTAATTCATTTTAATCTATATGATTATTATTAATTTGTAATATTTCTAGATAAAGGTACAAAGCAGCCCAAAAGCTTCCATAGAAAAAATTAATTTAAAAGAAAAACTAACTGATACTGATTCCACAGTTTTATTTTTGTTTTAGGATGTCAGTGGGAAAGATAAGTGATGTAATTACTTCATCAACTTTTTTTTTTTTGAAGTATAGTTAATTTACAATGTTGTGTTAGTTTCAAGTGTATAGCAAAGTGATTCAGTTATATATGTGTGTGTGTGTGTATATATATATATATATATACTTTTTCAGATTCTCTTCCATCTTAGGTCATTGCAAGACACTTAGTAGAGTTTCCTGTGCAATACAGTAGGTCCTTGGTTACCGATTTTATATGTAGTAGTGTGTATCTGCTAATCCCAAACTCCTAATTTCCCACCCCCACCCCCACTGTCCCCTTTGGTAACCGTAAGTTTGTTTTCTATGTCTGCATCAACTGTTTTTTAAGTAAGGACAAAATATAGTATTCTCAAATTATGCCTAAAGGAATAGGGGCACAGGAGGTTTTTATCACAGGGGATGGTTTCTTACAAATGAGATATGTGGATAAATAAAATAAGAATCAAGACAGAAATCATATGGTTTCCAGGGTCTAGTGTTGGGGGAAGGAGATTGACTACAAAAGGACACAAGGGAACTTTTTGCAGTGACGGAACTGTTCTGTATCTCTATCTTGATAGGTTATGGTTATACGACTGAATATAATTGTCAAAGCTTATTGAACTACTGACCTAAAAAAATGGCTCTTACTATATGTAAATTATACCTGAGTAAATTTGAAATTGGTTTTTAAGAAAGCAAACCATAAGAGATTCTGGAAAGGATTATTTTTTCAAATTATCATTTGCATCTTGAAATATTAGGTAGATTCTTGTTCTTTAAAAGCTAACATTTTTTTATTAATATAGAGTGATTAAGGTACCGTTAAAATAACATGTCTATTAATAATTGCTTTCTCTTTAATATTTCTCATCAGAGATTTCTCATATTTTTTTGTAGGGTCCACATATAGCTTCAGTTACATTAGCTGCTTATGAATGCAATTCAGTTAATTTCCCTGAACCACCCTATCCTGATCAGATTATTTGTCCAGATGAAGAGAGCACTGAAGGAACCATTTCTTTATGGAGCATCATCTCAAAAGTTAGGATTGAAGCCTGCATGTGGGTAAGATGTCCATTTTCATATTTGTCCAAAATTAACCTCACTGTCTTGATTCTTTGTACCTCATTGAAATTGAAGCCAGACATATACCAAGTCAGTAGATAATTAATTCATAAAGTTACCAGCTACCTAGCTTCCATGTAAAAGAAACCTTTAGAGCTTCTCCTGTTCATGAATAACATTCAGAAGGAAGGCAGGAAACCTTAGGTACCAGGAAGCATTGATACCAAGTAGACAATAGCAGGGAAAAGGAGTATAGATGGTGCAACTATACTACTTTGTAAAGTTTTACTAACGTTTATAAAACTTGATAAACACATAGCAAATGGTTATATATCAGTCCAAATTAGGTAAGTATTATATGTCTCTCTCCTAGATTTAAATACTCTGTGTTTATTCTTAGAAGGCTCATTTCATTTTTTGAGTTGTTGTAATACGAAAGTAAGGTCAGACATTTCTTAATAAACTAAGCTTTACTGTATTGGAGGTATCAGACTATATGGTGACCTTACTTTCAGAAGTTCCAATTATTCTTTTTATGGCTTGCTTAATATATTTTGGGAAATTTTGGACTACATGATCAATGGTAGATGTATTTTAATCTGCATACCCACACAAAGCATTTTTTATATGCTTAAATTCATTCATATGTATATCATTGAGGAATAGTTCATTTGCTAACGACTTCCTATTACCATTTGAATTATTTTTTAATTCATCATTTGGAATCACTAAGTTTTATGTTCCCTGTAACTTTTTTTCCCCTAACAGTTTCTTATAAAATGAAAAATGTGGAACACATCACTTAAAACTCTTAATTAAAATGAACGTGAATAGAATGCCCACAGAAGAGGCAGAGTTTTCAAACACATTCAAGCATTTATGTCATGTTTTAAAAGAATTAAAAAGGAAATGCCATATATTGAATTTGTTGAATATGAAAGACAGGAAAAATTGTCATATTTCCTGTTACTCTTTTATAAATACTGGAAACAAATTCATTATACTAGTTGCATATGTATTATAAATTTTACCACATTAGTCTTTTTTTTTAACATCTTTATTGGAGTATAATTGCTTTACAATGGTGTGTTAGTTTCTGCTTTACACATTTGTCTTTTGATGAAAAGCTATTAATAAGATAACTAGATACTCAGAACATGCTAGAAAAGGAGTATCTGTATAGCCTTCAATTTTCTGTTCTTTTGTTCTTTCAAAAATGATTTATGTGGCTAGATTAACACTAATGCCAACAAAGAAAATTTTTCATCCCAGCTGGCAGTGATAACTGCCTCTTCCAAAGTGCATATTGTCTGAAGCACTCATTTGGCCCGGCTCCATGCATGCCTCAAATTAGTTAAATTGGCTGGTGTAGTGGCTTACTTCCCCAAATAAATTTTAAGCTCCTCAAAAAATTCAGACTGTACCTTAAATTTATTACTCACAGCAATCAGCATTAGGCTTTGCTCATAGTTCAAGAATACCAATAGGGCTTCCCTGGTGGCGCAGTGGTTGAGAGTCTGCCCGCCGATGCAGGGGACACGGGTTCGTGCCCCAGTCCAGGAAGATCCCACATGCCGCGGAGCGGCTAGGCCCGTGAGCCATGGCGGCTGAGCCTGCGCATCCGGAGCCTGTGCTCTGCAACAGGAGAGGCCACAACAGTGAGAGGCCCGCGTACCGGGGAAAAAAAAGAATACCAGTAAATACTGATTGTCTGAATGTTTATTTGTTCTTCATATTCCCTTCTTTGAAACTGTCTTTTGTTATGTAAAAAAGGTAGCACATATCAAGTTATGCTTAAATTCGTTCCTTTTGTGTTCACCATTTACAAAGAGTCCTTTCATCAAAGGATGCTGGGAAAACTGAATATCCACATGCAAAAGAGAGAGGTTGGATCCTTACCTTACACCATATGTAAAAATTAACTCAAAATTCATCAAAGACCTAAACTTAAGAGTTAAAACTATAAGACACTTAGAAGAAAATATAGAAATAAATCTGCCTGGTGATTTGGCAGTGGTTCTTAAATAAGACATCGAAAGCAGAGGCAACAAAAGAAAAAAATAGATAAATTGAACTTAGCTAAAATTAAAACTTCTTGTACATCAAAGGACACACTATCAAGAGAGTTAAAAGACAACCCACAAAAAGGGAGAAAATGTTTAAAAGTCATATATCAGATAAGGGTTTAATATTCAGTATGTTTAAAGAACTACACAACTCAACAACAAAAAGACAACCCAATTAAAAAATGGGCAAAGGATTTGAATAAACATTTCTCCAAGGAAGACATACAAATGGCCAATAAGTGCACAGAAAGATTCTCAATATCATTAGTCATTGGGGAAATGCAAATCCAAACCAGAAGGAAATACCTCTTCACACAGATTAGGATGGCTATTATTTTTTTAGAAAACAAAAAATAACAAGTGTTGGTGAAGATGTGGAGAAATTGGAACCCTCATAGATTGCTGGTGGGAATGTAAAGTGATTTAGCTGCTGTGGAAAAGAGTTTGGTGGTTTCTCAAAAATGTAAACATAGATTTACTATGTGACGCTCCTCTAATTCCATTCCTATGTAAATACCCAAAAGAACTGAAAACTGGGACTCTAATATGTACAGAAACTTGTAGTTCATTGTTCAGCAACATTATTCACATTATCAGAAAGGTGGAAACAATCCAAGTGTCTCTTAACAGATAAATGGATAAACAAAGAGTATTATATACACATAATAGAATAGTATTCAGCCATGAAAAGGAATGAAGTTCTTACACATGCTGCAATATAGATGAACCTAGAAAAACATTATGGTAAATGAAATAAGCCAGACATAGAAAGACAGATATTGTATGATTCCACTTATGTGAGCTATCTAGACAATTCAAATTCATAGAGACAAAAAGTAGGTTTGAGGTTACCAGGGTTGTGGGGAATGAGAAGTTAATGTTTAATGGGTATAGAGTTTCCATTTGGGTGAAGAAAAATATTGAAAATATAATGATGATGGTTGCACAACATTGTGAATACAACTAATGCCACTAAATTTTATATTTAAAAATGGTTAACTGGGATACACTCATAAAAAGTCAATACTGGGACTTCCCTGGTGGTCCAGCAGTTAAGACTCCACTGTGTTCCCAATGCAGGGGGCCTGGGTTCGATCCCTGATCTGGGAACTAGATCCCGCACACCACAACTAAAGACCTGGCGCAGCCAAATAAATAAATAAATGTTAAAAAAAATAGTCAATACTACTGAAGTTGAGAAATGTTGATTTAGAGTGTATTGGCCTCGATTCTTATATTTTACCCTTTCATAAAATTGATCCCATTTGTGTTCACATCCATTTTTTTTTTTTTAGGGGAATGTCTTGCTTGATTAAAAACTGTTATGTTATTTAAAATTTTTACCTAATTTGTACTTTATGAAGTAAAATATCTTTACAGACTTCACTATCATTATAAATATAGTAAATCAGTAAAATCATTAAAATACATAGTACCTCCAATTATAAGATAAAGACCATGGTCAACCTCAGTTTCAACTTGTTCACGTAAGTCTTTGGAGCCCATTAAAATGAATTGTTTGTTGTTGCTGATAAGTAGGTTACCTTTTTTCAGTTTGTATCTTTTTCATCTTTCACAATTTGACTATATCACTAGTGTAAGGCTTCACAAATTTTCTTTTCAGTTATAAATTCCAATAATAGTTATTAAACCTCCAAGCATTTGAGATTCAGAGTGAGCAAAACTTAACAGTCACTACCCTCATGGAGCTTTATATTCTAATGAGGGAAATAATTATGGAAAAATGTATATTTAAGTATTGTCGAAAAATTATATATATAAATATTTAAACAAATTGAGATAAGGGCTATGAAGGAGAAATTTATTGCATAACACAAAAATGTTTTCCTAGTCTGTGATTCAGGGAAGATTTCCTTGAAATAGCAGTGTTTCAATGGATATCTAAGGATAATAAGGAGTACAGTGAGGAGGCAGGATGGTGGCAGGGCAGAGGAGAGGAAGCATGTGTGATGACTTTCAGATAGAGAACATCACTTTTTTTGTTGTTAACATCTTCATTGGAGTATAATTGCTTTACAATGGTGTGTTAGTTTCTGCTTTATAACAAAGTGAATCAGTTATACATATGTCCCCATATCTCTTCCCTCTTGCATCTCCCTCCCTCCCACCCTCCCTATCCCACTCCTCTACGTGGTCACAAAGCGCTGAGCTGATCTCCCTGTGCTATGCGGCTGCTTCCCACTAGCTATCTATTTTATGTTTGGTAGTGTTTATATCTCCATGCCACTCTCTCACTTTGTCCCAGCTTCCCCTTCCCCTTCCCCGTATCCTCAAGTCCATTCTCTAGTAGATCTGCATCTTTATTCCCGTCTTGCCCCTAGGTTCTTCTGACCTTTTTTTTTTTTTTTAAGATTCCATATATATGTGTTAGCATACGGTATTTGTTTTTCTTTTTGACTTAGTTCACTCTGTATGACAGTCTGTAGGTCCATCCACCTCACTACAAATAACTCAGTTTCGTTCCTTTTTATGGCTGAGTGACATTCCATTGTATATATGTGCCACATCTTCTTTATCCATTCATCTGTCGATGGACACTTAGGTTGCTTCCATGTCCTAGCTATTGTACATAGAGCTGCAATGAACATTGTGGTACATGACTTTTTGTTTTTGTCCATTTTATTGGCATATAGTTGCTTGTAGTAATCTCTCAGGGTATATGCCCAGTAGTGGGATTGCTGGGTCGTATGGTAGTTCTATTTTTACTTTTTTAAGGAACCTCCATACTGTTCTCCATAGTGGCTGTATCAATTTACATTCCCACCAACAGTGCAAGAGGGTTCCCTTTTCTCCACACCCTCTCCAGCAATTATTGTTTGTAGATTTTTTGATGATGGCCATTCTGACCAGTGTGAGATGATACCTCATTGTAGGTTGTTTTTGTTTGCTTGTTTGTTTTTGCAGTATGTGGGC